TAAGGCTATGTTCGACTAAATGATTGACCATAGTGTCACGTAATAGTGTCACGTATGTCTCTCAGGATTTGGAATATCTGTAATTAGAAAAACGTTTGCAAAAAAAGCTTTATTTTTTTATTTAATATTTTTTTTAAAGTTAATTTTCTTATTTATTATTTATAATTTATTACTAATTAATAATAAATTTTTAATCCAATACTAACAACAATAGGATCTAATAGAACGGTAACAACATGAATTTCTGAATCGTGTCTCAACAAAACTCTCGACATTCAAATTTCTTTATAAGCAAAATTGATAAATAAACTATTAAAAGCATAATAACACAACAAAATGACAAATTAGCTTGCAAGATTTGCTCAACATATAGTAAACAAAGGTATGTTTGTGGTTGCTACGGCGTTGCTAAGGTAAATAATATTGCAAATATAGATTTTTATCACATTTCCAAAAATAAATTCTGTTTCATACATACATCAAACGAAAGAGAATAAAATTTTGAGTAAGATAAATTAAAAAAAAATATTTTCATATTTTGATCAAAAAGTAGTATTTTAATTGTGCTCTACCACTTTAACAGTATAACTTTACGAAAAAAATATAAAGTAAAAATCAACATTTATAATACATTTATTAACTGGTAATAAAATAACATGGTAAATTTTTAACATTTAATACTTTTATTTTGTACAAAAGTTTTATAAAATTTAGGGAACCTAAAAGAACCTATTAAGTTCTTGAATTACTAAATGCAATATATATATTCAACCTACTCAAACTATATTCATTCCCCCTAAATTTCCCTACTGTGTTTGTTTAACATTTTAAAATAATGAGTTTTTAACTTTTTTTAATTTTATAATTTTTTTAGTTAAAAACTAAATTATTTAACACGGTTAAAAAAACGTGTTAAAACGTGGAATACAATTTGTCTTGCGCTTACTGAGTTTAAAGCATTCAATCAAATCATCAACTTTATTTAAACAATTGTATGTAAAGTTTGGCATAGGCTTTAATTCATTTTATGTATACATATATAAACGATTTAAAAAGTTTACAGTATTGACTACTATCAATATAAAAAACGATTAACCAACACTTAATAAAGTTATGATCAAATATTTGAAATATGCACTTTCTTTTTATGCGTGCGCTTGTTAAATGTTTATAATATTGGCTTACGTTTGTCAATATTTTAAAGGATTATTAAACGTTTACTAAACGTTTACAATATAGATTTATGGTAATCAATAGTCTAAACGTTTAACCGACGTTTAATCAACGTATACATTAAAAACCAAGAAATATTTATCCAAATCAGTCGATTTTTGGTCAATATTTGGTCGCTAAACGTTTTATCCATTTTTTGACTAATTTCTACTAAATGTTGACCTATTCTAGACGTTTCTGTTTTTACTTTCTTATACTTGCACTTACATATTTTTTTTATTTTCTTTTCCCAATTCTGAATACCATTCTGTATAACCTTCTATTTTTATTTATTTATCTATTTTTTCTTATCTATTTTTATAAAACTGTTATTTATTTATAAACTGTTACTTATTTATCTATTTTCAAAATTTAAGATAAAAAAGCTAAGTTGTTATTACCTATTTTATGAACGAAATTGTTAACATATTATATTAAAGTTAGACATTTTTAGCATATTAAGATAAGATTTAATTAATCTAATGTTTAAGCCACAAACTATTGCAACAACTATAAAAGTTTAAAAACTCACAAAAAAACAAAATTAGTTATGACTCCAAAATAATTTTAAAAATAACTAATTTTAAAAATAGCTTTATTATTTATTCTTTGTCTAGAAACCATCGACACTTGTGTTATGTAATTTGATTCCAAAGTTTGCTTAAGATAAAAGGTTATATGGCGTAAATGTACATCAGCGCAAAATATAAAAGAAAACAAAACTTGTAAGTGGTAAGGGTTATAGACCAGGACCCCACAATTTTAGGGGCCCCGAAATAGTTGAAAGGATCTTTTTTTTTTTTTTAAAGTTATATTTTACGCTGTGGGACACAAAAAAAGCCTTAAAAAAAAAATAGCCTTGGGTCCCGAAAAATCTTAATCCGCCACTGCAGACAAAGAGAGCAGATGCGATCTTCATTAACAAATTTTATCAAAATTTTTACTAACCATAAAGAGCCCTACACCTTGGAGAAAAACAGAATCTGAAAAACTCTTATTACAATTAGAGTTTATTACAACAGACTTTAAATATTTATTATTCTAAATTTAATACAAAATACAAAAAAAAAAAAAAAGTTGTTATTATCACTAAATGAATATATCTTATTAAACATTAATATAGAAAACATGTATGCATTAATATATTTGAATGTTTGTATTACTTTTATTTTAAATCAGTAGAAATTTACTATAGTTTCACGTTCTTTTAAAGATATTTTTAGCATTTTGCACAAAATAAATGTATTTTAAAACGGATTATGTATATATTTGTTTTTCTATTAAGACAGACAATATGTAAACGGGGCTTGGTGATAAGACAGTTTATGTCTTCTTCTTACTCCGGCCTAAATTTATATATGTAGTATGTATTTATTGAAAATTTATCAAACGGTAAACTTTCAAACAGGCAAATTATCAAACGGCAAAAAAAAAAAAGGAAGATTGCATAATTTTAAGCAAAAAATTTAAGACAAAATAAAAGATTTTTTTTTTTTCTGTTATTTATTTTGTAAGATTTTTGGAATTTTAAAACATAAAATGAAATTGAAATTTAGTTAAATTGAAGTTAAATGGAAATTTCACAATTTCTATTTTTCTTCGTAGAAATACTGATTGCACTGACTCCAATTAAAATTTAGTTAAATTTCGAATTACATAACACTTATCCAAACAAAAGGCTTGTTTTAAAACATTATCAATGTTATGTTGCATAAATCAGTTAAGTTACTCTCATTCCAACACTTATCAAATATTCTTTCTCAATACATCCATTTATTTGATTATGAATTTGAGTTTGTGAAATTTCATTTAATTCTTTTTCTCTTTAATTCCTTTCAGAATTATATTCTATATAAAAAATTCAACTCGATTTAAAAAAAATGAAAATTTTTTTTTATTTTATTTGAAAATAAGTAGCACGTATCTTAGAATAAAAACGTCATGCAGGGCCGGCGATAGGGGGGTGTATGGGGAGATATCACCCCTTCCCCAAACACTAAATCTTAGTCAGCACAAACAAGGCCACAACATATTAATGGCACGCCATACGTGACACCTACTTGTGCCAGCCCTGATGTCATGTCCAGTTTTCGAAAGCACGAATCAGGGCCCCAAGGCAGAGAAAAAGCTGTAGAAAAATTTGTAAAAGAATACAAGAACAAATGTATCCTGAAAGAGTGTGCCTACGATAAAGTTAAAAAAAAAGGCATTTAATTACTCTACATCTAACCAAGTAGTCTAGGTATAGATTGATAGCTTTTTTTTTTATTCACAATCTTATATACATAATTTCATTCCAAAACTGTAAAAACAATTCTTTTTATTACAGACCATGCTACCAACAGCGTCAATTAACTCTTGAGTTCAAAAAAGCCATCTTCCTCTTCAAATTTTTTAACGGTCTTTGAAGAAGAAGATGATAATTAAGTGAGTTTGGGACGCATCCTTATTTATGAAAAACTGCAGATATTAAAACCATACCATTTAATATCGGCAGATATTAAAAACATGCCACAATTCTCAAATGCTTTTTTTAATTTAGGATCAAGAGGCGATTCACAAAAGTCTAAAACAAGATGAAGTGCGCGCATAGAGACTGTCCGGCCATTGTCAAAACGACCAGAAGAAATACTGAAGTTCTTGAAACTTTTTGAAGAACTTGATTGAGAAGACCATCAACTGACTTTAATTAAGGTACTTAAAAAATGCACTTTAATTATTTGAATTCATTGTCTTGACTTCTTTCTGGTTCAAGGCTCTCCTACGTGTCAACGATGTCTGCTTCCTTCTTCAATTAGAAATTCAATGGATAACAAGACAAAGTTTTTAAAGACTCTAATCGATGATCTTAAACGACTACGTTCTTCTATGCACCAAATCCTCCATGCGAAACTGGTTGCATATGGATTAGTTTCATTTGGATTTCAAAATGATTTCGAAATGAAGTAGAAGATAAGGAAAAAGAAAATACTTTACGGCGAGTCGGTGAAGGCAGCTCACTTCCACGAAGACGAATTAAAATGTTTTGAGGTTAACGTATTTAATGTTGGTTTTTACAGGCTGCTCCAGCAGATAAGATACAGAATGGATACAGCTCAAAAGTTGACGGATATGTTTTCGTTCACTTGGTGTTTTCCATCTCCTTCTAGTGATAAAGAAAAACTTTAAAAAAAAGTGCAAAGTCCTGGCAAATCTCTACGTAATGATGTAAAAGAAGAGAAGTTGATTGAAGAAATCCGTTATCTAAGTGTTCTCAAGCGATCAAATACTTTTCTAAAAATAGAATCTCTTTCTTCTATCAAGTTGAATCTACCAGAAAGGTATTCAATCAATATTTCCTTTGATCTTGTATTTTGTTTCGCATTTTTAATACAATCCCGGTTTCTATGGTTGAAGGAGAGCGCTCTTTGAAGTTCAAATATAGAGTGATTATGTGCAGCAATGGTTAATACAAAAATAATTATTGTTTTCATTTAATTGTAATGTGATAGTAAACATACTAACAATAAACAGTGAAATTCATGCCTAATTCATTATACCCAGGAATTCAAAGTTTGGGGCACCGAACAAAAATTGACACCGGGTACCACAAAGTCTCTGTGCGGGCCTGGAACATGGGACGTAAAAAAGACGTCTTTTAAATATCTTTTGAACGTTTTGAATGTCTTTTGAACATTTAGAACCTCTTTTGAACGCTTAGAAGATACCTTTTTTAGGTCCCGTGCCCGCTGGGACAGCACAATCAATAACTCAATTTTTTTGAAAATATGGAGGTTAAAAAAAAATAATTCTAACGTCGTGATATATTACCCTCTTAATTTCAAAGGGTTCCCTATCTTTTTTTGCTACGGTATTCTTGAATAACTGTTAAGGTCATTGAATGTAGCAAGTCAAAGGTACCATGGCATGTTTTGAAACGTTCAATAGTCCCTTAACTTGTTCATTTTTCATTTATACAAATTCTTTGGTGTTCAACGCTTCTTAAAACAGTTTTCTTTTAGTCAACACAAATGCTTCCCTATCAGCATTTACGTATATACCGGCCCAAGCAGCCACCATTGGGTCAACTGCATTTTTTTTAGTTGGCACAACTGTATCGGACTTACATTTAGACAAAACACATTTTGCGTTAGCTGGCGCAACTGAATTGGAGCTGCAAATGGAGCAACTGCGTTTAGAGTAAAGGCCGACCTAGCAAAATACGCATTATGCCAACGTATTGCCAACAATGCTTTTGATTTGACCAGCGTTGCGTCTAAAAATTAAAATCAATACTCAGTCAACGTATTGTTAACAACTCACAGTGGGCCATGAGGTGGACAAAACCTAAAAAAAATATTTATTTTATTCAAAATCATATAACAAAACATATTTGTAATTCTCTGTTATACTATTTAAAAAAATGAGATAAGTATAATTAAAAATTTTACTCAACATATTTTTTAAAACCACAAAAATCAGTTGTCATTCCATGTGTAATCAACAAAAGAAGAATTTTTAATATTTATGCATAGCTATAGTAAACAGTAACTTTAAAATTCTATGTTAGTACAGAATTAGTTTATATATTTATACTATTTAACAGATTAGCTTTACGAAAAAAGTAGAAATCAGCATTTGTAATATATTTATAAACTGGCTATAAAATAACGACATTTGAAATGAAATTTTTATATAACTTAGGATACCTACGAGAACCTAGATTAAGTGCTTGAACTAGTAAATGCAATATATATACAACCTACTCAAACTGTATAGATTGCTCCTAATTTTTCCTTTTTGGGTTTCTTTAACATTTTAAAACAAGAGTTTAAACTTTTGTTATTAGCTTGGAATCAATTTCTTTTCACCCAAAAACAAAAATACTTGTTATTTTGTTTCTAATTTCATTCACAAATTGTTTGTTTTTTGTTTGTCTAATAGTTTTTTTGTTTTTTTGTTTAGTAATATAATGAAAGTTGGTGACATTGATGGACTTATAAGAAGAAATAAAATACTCCTAATGACATATCTGACTAATTCCTAATGATATATCGCTGAAATTTCAGAAACAACCCAATTGAAGCTGCTAGGAAGTATTCACCTGATGAAATCTTAGCATTAATTTTGATGGTCGTATATTAAAATCAAAATGCCTACTTGTAAGAAATGATGCTGAAGAAAAAGACTGCAAATATATATATTTTATGTAATGATTTGAAATCTTCAAAGGTTAATGCAAAAATTATTTATTCAGATAACTATTCAATACACCGCTAAAAGACCTTTAAAAACACTTGAAGTTAAAAAGTTAAACTGAAAACAGTGAACAAAGTCTAACAAATGAGCAGTATTTTTTTATTATAAAAACTATTCATTTGTTATCTTTCATTAAAACTTATAATTATTAAAACTTTGCTCTGTGGAGAAACGACAGGTTATCATCAACTGCTTATTGTCGACCAGTAAGATATTTTTCAAAAAGAAACCAAGAACGTTATTTAAGAAGAAAAAAAATTTTCGATACTGAAATAGAAAAGTGTGATACTACAAACATTTTTTTGGGAAATAAATAAATGTGAAACGTTTTATTGAGCTGACTGTAGTAGAAGGAAAAATTCAAACAATTTTTTCACTATAAAAAATTCAACACAGTGTTGTCCTGTGTGTGGCTTGTCTCCCAAAAAAGTAAACAATTGAGGAAATGTGTTGAACTTAGACACCAATAATTCAAAGCTAAAATATGTTTTATTCAACCTACACGTTTAAACAAACCTTTTTAAGCTAATTCTGCATATTGAATGTAAAAAGGAAACTAGAAAATAACGTAGCTGATAAACTGGCAATACAACAAGTAAAGAGTTTACTAATTTCATTAACCAATTTGGATTGGTTGTGGATTTCCTGAAAAGTTGAGCATCTGGTAAGTCAGATTTATATACATGATTATAAAATATATACATTATATATATATATATATATATATATATATATATATATATATATATATATATATATATATATATATATATATATATATATATATAAAATTAAATGGAATATTGAGAAAATTTACAGTTTTTAAATTTAGTATGATAGTAATGTTAGGATTAAAATTGTCTTTAAAAATTTTGGTTTTTCTATATTTTTTCTGATTGGGGACTGCTGATATTATAGAAGCAGCAAACACTATTATCTCTCTATATAGACCGGTATTATCAAGTCAATATTTTTTGGCAATAGTTTATAAGATAAAGAGGAAACTAATACACAAAACTCGGCTCCGTTAAAAACTCGGCTCCGTTTTTTTTTCTTTTTGTTATTTAGAAGCATCAAGAAGACCTAACGGTTTTGTCAGAGAGCACCGCGGAGGCGCAACCAGGAAGTTTACACCTTCTTCCTTACTGTGACGCAAAAATATGTCAACAGCTCAATTCGAACCTGGATCTCTTGCTTAGAAAGCAAAGGCTCTAACCACTGCACAACTACCCTTGGTGGCATGCAAAACTACCCATGGTGGCATCAAAATTAGGGTCTACTGATTTTTAAATGTATATTTTATTTCCTGAAAAAAATTAGATTTTGTGTAAGGTAAATTATTTCAATATTGTATTGAATAAAAGAACACTTGTATGAATTTGAACCACTTTATAACGTCATTTTTGTTATTTGTATACAAGTATACTATCGCATTGATATACGTGGATAGCGTTCCTCGCTTTATTATTGATACCATTTAATAAAATTTTATTTATTTTTCCAAATTCAGGTTTAGCTGGTCTTACTTATTGGCTGTTACTATTTACACTACCGGGCTTACTGAGAAATATTTATGACATGTGGTATAAACATAAAAAATCTTTTATTCATGAAAGTAAAAGCAACGCCACTGAACTTTTAAAATTTATATGGGAATACAAAAATAAGGGTTTCAAACCAAAATTAACACGGAATACTTTTGATCACGTGGAACCATTCATAGCTGGTGGTAAATTTTGCAATTTATGCTTGACGGAAAATTACCAAATTATTAAATCGTGATTAAGTTTTGTTTCCAATAGTCTTGGTAACATTGTATAATAGTTTCAAAAAGTTTTATACTGAAAGTATTTTTTTACATAAGGTACACAACTTAACGTTGGTCGTACAACAAAATTTATGTTGCAAAACAAAGGTTGCGGAGATAAAATCAAATCAATTTCGACAACAACTGTTGCACAAAATTTTTACAACAACTGAAGTCTATGATTCCCATGCGACCATTTGCCTCTAGCAATTTTGTTAATTAGATTTTTAACTCGATTTTTTCTTATGAGATTTTCATATATTTTTCTTTTTCAATTATTTTATTTCAATACTATCCATGAAAATATTAGGCAGCAGTTTTTTTTTTTTTGAGACCAAATAGAAGAGTCCGTTTATTTTTTCGATATTAATTGTTACTTTATTACCAGTTAAAAACTTTATAAGTTCAGTGAAACCAGTTCGAAATTTTTTCAGTATTTTTCAGTTCAAGGTTCATATTGTTAAATAATGTTGTAAAGTTATTGTTAAAAGTTCATTATTTTTTTGTTGTAAAAATATAAGATGTTGCTTTGCAAAGTACATGTATCACAAAAATGATTTAAATAATGGTCTAAATTTTCTTCATTAGTCATTAGTTTAGCAAAAATCAGTTGAAGGCAAAACACTTTTTATAAAATATTTTAAAATTTTTTTATACAGTTTCAAATCAAAAGCCGACTTTAATCAGAGGAAATCATATTTTGAAATCTTGATAAAATATGAAAAACTCAACTTGCAGAAAATACAAAAATAAAAAAAACAAACCAAAAATAAGTACAAAATAAAAAAACATTTTTTTTTTTTTAAAGTAGAGTTTATAAACCTACAAATAAAAGCATGGTAGACAAAATACAAAGACAAATTAGCTTCCAAGTTTTTTTAATAGGGGAAGGTTGCATAAGATGAGCAGGTTCCTAAGATGGCATAACCTCTTTTACTAGTACTTTGGTAGACTAGTGATTTTTTTGCGAATTTTTTTGGTTAAGTATATTCGTACAAGTTCAACGGTGCTATTTATTTTAATATTTTGGTTGTATAGTTAATATCCTTTCATTGTTTTTTTGTTAAAATAATTTACCATTCCCGTTATAATTTTTTGTTATTCGATATTTTGTAATTAAGTCAAAACGAAACAACCCTACGGGCATTTGTTTTTAAAAGTTACGATCTAAATGTCTTTTAAACGTTTTTTAAACGTCTTTTAAACGTTCTTTACGTAAGAATGCTTAAAGGACATTTAAAATACATTTTATGTTTATCTACTGCTAATTCCATGGGTTATATGAGATAATACAAAAACTGTTGTCGTTCTATTTAAATTATGATAGTATTTGGTAAAGTTGCTTAAGTTGGAATGTCTTGAGACTCTTAAGATAAGATGCGGTTTTTTATTATAAAAAGCCGGGTTTTTTTTTAGTGTTGTTATCAACTTCGACTAAATCGACTAAAAGTCGACTGTCGAAAGTCGAAATTAGTCGACTAAGAAAAAACGAATAGTCGATTTAATCGACTATAGACTTCCTACTAATCGACTAAAAGTCGATTTAGTCAGGTGAAAATCTTAAAATCATCTTATCGTTTTATTCGATTTATTTTGTCAGTCTTTTGTTTTTGCTTGTTCGTTTAAAAACAAAAGCATCTGTTATTATAACTAGAGATGTCACGGATAGTGGTTTTCCAAATACCGAACATCCAGTTTATTAATATCCGAAATATTATGTACTTCAGCTCTGCCAAAGCACCTACTATTCTGCTGCCGAATATCTGGTGACATTTTCCTATTTTGAGGGTTCCTGGTTTTTTGAGGTGTATATCGTGGGTATACTTGCATTTTAGAAGTAATTTCAGAAGTTGATAAAGATAGATGATATTCACTACAACCTGAATTTAAGTCATTATTTAACTTTAATAGGAATGTCAATTAAATGGTTGTAATAAAAAGATGTGATAAATCCTTTTCAGTGAAAGACTGCTTTACACCAATGACTAGTAGCACAGGGGATGATTCACCGATGAACAATTACCGGTGACTAGTAGCACCGGGGATAATTCAGCTCTACTTCGTTAGAAAAAGAAATGTAAATGAAGACGATCAAACTAATCTATAAAAAATAATGAATACTTATGAAGATGCGAGAAAGAATAATTTCAATTGCAAATGATATTTTTACGACGTTTTTACATGAAACGGTTTGCTCAAATTGGACAGCAAACACTTACAAGTGTTGGTCAGAAAACGCAAAACATTATCTTGAAAGAGTTTGTTAAAATATCTTAATTAT